ATTAATAAAAAATACTAAATTATCATATCACCTTTTTGTCAAATGCTATGAACTTGTTCACAATTTCAGTGAGTTTAAAACGATCAAACATATTTTTCACCACCATAATAGCTGCGTTGGCTAACCCCGAACATGTAAGCATTTTATCTCCAAGAACTAATACAAAAGATTGATTCGGATCGCTCGGAAAATGGATTGATCGAAAGTAGAAGAAAGCCAAAAACAGATAAACGTTTATTGCAAAAATGAACCAAGCGATATCGAAAACATTGACTTGCGGCTCGGAAACATTACTGTTTGAATTTGGAACCAAACGAAATGGCAATAAACCGAAAATACGCGAAATCACATGGATTGGCCTAATATTATAAGCGAAATTGATGTTTTTCAATAAAATCTCTTTTTTATCTAATGTCGGCGAATCTACGTTTATCGAGTGTACCATTTTCGTGGATGGTAGGATTTTATTTTTTACGTTAAACTGAATCATATTTATCAGAAAGAAAAAAACCAGACAAATATAATCCTTTTTCGACTTCGAACTGCTTCTGTTGAGAAAATACGTCTTGGTAGCAAAAAGATTGACAGCAAACTGGAGATAATTTTATAGATAGACGCAACATATTGTTTTTCACATATTAATAACATTGGACAATGGCCAAAAGTCACGCGATTATAGCCAAAAGTCAGGCAATTTGAAAAAAGCATTGAAAAATGTTGGTGAATGTATGAGTATCAATAAATTCACCATTATTATCATGTAATAGATACACGTGCCATAAATGCTGCACAATAGCTGGCAAATAGCAGTTTATTCCAATTTTCTGCTTATTCCGCTTTAATATCAGACCATCGCATGACGCAGGATTAAATTTCCATTCATCAATTATTATTGTGCAACAATAATAAAAAAACCAATGAAAATAAAAGTTGCTACCCAGTGTATATTTAAAAACTAGATCCATGCCTTAAACTGATATGAATCAAACATCGATCAATAGAACAGAATAAAAGTAATAATAATTGAACATAAATTGAGTCCATTAATTCAAGCCAATGAAACAACCATGACATTTTTATCATATTTGTCTCAAGGTGCATCTTCGCTATTGTTGGGGGCTCCGTTCGATGAATTGAACTGAATAAGAATTGTTAGGTATGTTGTAATGGCTCCAATAAACTGAAATAAATCAAGATATGATCATTTGAATATTCGTTTTTTTTTCTTTTCGGTAAAATATATTCCCTTACGTTGTATAACAAGGTCCAGTCAAATACGAATAATCCACATGTTGCTACTGGACTCAGACTTTGCAGTTGTTGTGAGAACTGCGAAAGCTATTTACAAAATATAAATTAATATCAAATATTGATATGATGCGGCATAAAAAGGATTTCAAAAAAAAACTATAATTTTACCGAAGCATTCACGTCTGCGTCATTGCACGAATTAATCATGCTATGTACAATTTCCGATGTTTTTTTGCTCTAAACCAAAATGTGTGTTAAATTGATACTTTCCAAAAAAGTTCTAATATACATAAAAGATAACTTATACTTTTGATTTGATCAAATCGCCGATGTAAATTACTGCAATCGTGTAAACTGAGAAAAATGACAATGCACTGAAATGGACGACTAATAATCCTTTGAAAAAATCGCTTGGATGCAGGAAAAATTGATACAATGTAAAAAAAGACAAAATCGATAGCACAAATGTAGCTCCGATATTCACCATGACCTGTAAAACAAAATCCATTTTATCGCGCGTATTTTTCGACAAAAGTTTTCATAACTTAACAATAGCATTATACTTTACCTGAAACGAATAACAGATATTGAGCGTTTCCATAATTTCGGTCAATAAACTAAACTGTCGCCCAATAAACTTGATGAAACTGATCGTTTTCTCTTTACGTAAATCATCCGGCAGGTATACTATTTTATCGTCCGAGAAATGTTTCCTGTTTAAAAGTGAATACTATCAGAAATGCCTTTATAAATGTCAATTGATCAGAGAAACAGAATACCTCAACAATGAGTTTAAAACATCGACACGTTTGCAGAGATACAGTATGAAAATAAAGTATGTGGTCAATACGGTGGCCGTCACAAAGTGATGTGACGTATGCACAATAATGAAGATTAAAATTGTGTAAGATGTTTCAGTGTTTCGAATAGCATCGAAGTAAAAAAAAGTGATTAGAACCAATAGCAAAGACCATATCAAAATCGCAATATACCACAACAAGACTTGTTGATGACCTTTTTTGTAGTCGAAATAAACACTCAGCTTCGCTACCTGTGTAATTTAAAATTAACTCACTTGAATTTTTTCAGGTTCATTAAAGAGGAATAATCAAACGGGTGTATTTATGGAGATATAGATATGGAGGCGAATAGTAGCCACCTCGTAATCAAGCGGATCAAGTTAAGTGAAATGTTCTCTCTTGCAAAAGATACACATGCTACTCTATTCGAATATATAAATGATGTGCATAGTGTAGCACATATATATACACAAGGTGGAGTCCACATATGAATATCCCCTTTTATATAAATAACCAACAATAGTTTTGCTCACCTTTTTGTCAAAAACCAAAAACTTATTCAAAATGCCAACGATTCTAAATCGATTGAACATATCCAGCAAAATGATAACCGCTCCAAAACAAACTCCCGCAAAAATGAGTATGGCATCGCCAAGGATCAATAATATGTGATTTGGATTTTGTGGCACTTTCATTGTTTGTACGAAAGCAATACCCAACCATAAATATGCACATATTGAAATGATGAACCATAGAAAATCGAATAAGCTGACTCGCGACTCATAAACTTCACCGTTCGCACTACGATTTACAGAAAATGGCACCAATCCAAAAATACGCGAATAAAATTGAATCGGTTTCACATTGTAGCAAAAGTTTATGTTTCTCAGTAAAATTCCACGCTTTGGTAAAGTTTGCGGATTAAAATTCTTGGAGTATGCCATTTTTGGCGTTGCTTAGAAAGCTTTAAACCGTTGCTGTATTGTTGAAATAAACGCACTGATGAAGCACAAAATTCATTTTCATGAATTTTATCAACCTTTTTTGCTGAATTTGTTAAAAGGCGGTATAAGTGGTTTTTATTACCAGTAATGCTCACAAATTTACGTCTTAATGTGAACACAATTAAAAAAACAACCACTTTTATGCTTGAAACCGACCCAATTTGTCTACGTTAACCTATAGAATATGTGTCATAGAATAGTAATAAAGGTAAATGTACTCGAGGGAAATACATTTTATAATATCTCCATTTCGTGCGTGTCCATTTCTTTTAGGCAAATTGTAATAAATAATAATGAGTAAACCATGTAGCTCTTGTATCCATTGTTCTGTTAAATGCAATCATTTGATCAAGGAACAAAAGAACCATACGATGAAAGATTGTGCCCGCACACGTTCAATAATAATTAAATTCACATTTTTCATTTTTGTCCTACACAATAACAATAATAATTCACCAGCTCTGTGTCTCACAATAATTGTTGGCTCTTTGTATTTAACCTCTTCCCAACGTGTAAAGGCCCAAATTTAATCTATAATGCGACTAAATTAAATGAGTAAAATAGAAAAAGCTATGGCAAGACACTCCATGCGGTTTAGTGTTTTATTTGTGTTCGTTGTTTTCTATTTGGAAAAAAACAGCAATAACACTGATTTTAAACGTCAAGTTCCTAATGGAATGAACATCCGACTCACTTTTCTCCATAGTAAAATCAACACCAGAATTGTCCTCTCTATGTGCTCAATATAAGTATAGCTCACACAAATTTCACACGACAGGTTGTTCTCATTTTTATTGTGCATCAAGCGACCACATCAAATTGTCCACATAAAATATTCGATTCTAAATGAAATCATTGTTGTCTCTGTACCACATTCATCTTGGTAATTCAGATTGAATCAATATCGTCAAATAGGTTGTAAGGCAGCCCATGATCTATGATCGTGAATGACATGAAATACGTGTATGTACATGTACAATGCAAATTCAAATTTTTGTTCAAAATCTTCTTACACCGTATAACAGGGTCCAATCATAGATAAACAAACCACAAGACGCTACAGGAGCAGAATGATTTTGAATCTATTGTGACAGTAAAAATAACTGTGGAAAAAGCACCTATGATAAGGAAGCGTTTTAAGGGTTTTTAATGTCCATTTCTCAAGTACACTTTACCGATTCATTTATGTCACCGTCTCTACACAAATTTATTATTCTATGTACAATTTCAAACGTTTTTTGGTTCTGTTAAAAATTGAGTCAGTATGTAATTATAATAATTTATAATTATAATAGGTTTCATTTAGAAAGATAATTACTTTGCATCCTAAGACATTCCCCATATGCATGATTGCGATTATATAACTGGCATAAAAGAGCATTTTAATCAATTGAGCGTAGAAAAACTGCTCAAAATACTCATTTCGCTGAGTCAGGAATCGATAAAACGTGTAAAATGTGAAAATAGAAAGTATGAATGTTATTGCAGTAGTCACCATAACCTAGAAAAATTATTTTATAAGTGAATAAACGTGGTGAGAAATATTTTGGGCATAAATTGATACTTGTAACGAATAGCAAACGTTCAGATTTTCCATTATTTCAGTTAGTATGTTGCGTTTTCGTCCAATAAACTTGATAAAGCTGATAGCTTTTTCATTTCGAAAAGTGTCCATCGTTTGCATCATGTGTTTGTCGTTGAAATATTTTCTGTGCAAAGAGAAAAACTCATCAGAAATTGTAAAAAAGAAATAATTCATAAACCAAAAAAAAAAATACATTAGCAGTGTGTTCAAAGTATCGAATCGTTTTCAGAAACGCCCTTTCTCGAAATCTACAAGCACATTCGATAGAATTGATCCTTAGAATCGGGAAAACCCTTATTCATTTTCTCATCAACAGCAATTTCCTCTCATCTTTTTGTCGAAAATTGTAAACTTTTTCAGAATATCAACCATTTTATTGTATGTCGATTGAACAGGTCCATAACGATCCATGTAGTAATGCCGGATAAACAAATAGACACGAGCACACTGACTACAAGGACCAGAACATGTGATTTATTCCGATCCTGTGGAATCTCCACCACTTGCATGTAAGTGCAAACCAAAAATAAATAGACACTTATTGAAGTAATGACACGTAAAATGTCAAATATGCCAACACGTGCACCATGAATATCACCATTTGACTCATAACTTATGAAATACGGTGCCAAACCAAGCAAACGGGAATAAATTTGGATTGGTCGCATATTGTAACAAAAATTTATATTTTTCAATAGAATGCCAGTTTTTGGTAACTTTAATGAATTACAATTTAATGAAGGTACCATTTTGGATGAGATTCAATCTGATTTACGTGTGTCGCTTAAAGAAACTAATACTGAATGACGACTGAAAATTTTGGATTCACCTGTGAATTGCAATGAAAACAAAAATTTATTCAATGGATCAATAAAACATTCGTTTTCTCATCAAATCAATTCTACTTACTAAACAATAAAGTAATCATGACATAAATGAAAATAGTCTGATTTGGACAAATAAAGTGCTCGTGAAACTTTTATTTTTCCCACAGTTTGGTTTTTTTCCACAATTGACTAATTTTTGTGCGATCAAATATGATTAGAGGCAAGCGAACGAAACGCGCTTCGGAAAAATTCAGTAGTCAATTACCTTTTCAGTGATTAGGATTTACAATAGATCGTTGGGTATGCGATCTATCGAACTGAATTAATATTGCCAAATATGTGGAAACAGAAGCAATTATAGTATGTAATAAAGTCCAATCAAACGCAAATAATCCACACGAGGCTCGAGGTGGATAAGCTGCATACAAAGAAAACATTGTGGGATTATAATTTGAATGGCTGTATTTTTTGAAACTGATTTTACCGATGCATTTATATCTGCGTCACTGCAAGCTCCGATAATACTGTGCACTGTTTTGTAAGCTTTCTTTACCTGCGAAGAAGCGGAAATATGAAGGAAAAAATTTAGCTTGAGACATCAATATATAAATGATTAATCATAATTTTACTTTTGAGTCGATCATATTCCCAGCATAGCAGACCATGAAAATGTATAACAAATAAAATGGTTCCCATAGGACCAATGTGTATGTCACTTGCTCTATATAATCGTCCTGATCAGAAGCATTTCGATATAGGCAATATAATATCAGAACAGTATAAACAAATATGTTTGCCAAGCAGAACATCACCTGTACCATAAGAAAGTCCATTTCATGATAAAAATGAGAGAGATTTATTGATTGGCTAATGCTATTGGCAAACCTGTATAGAATAGCAAAAATTAATCATTTCCAATATCTTCATTAGTTGAGCATGCAAACGTCCAACGACTTTTATAAAGGATTTTATTTCTTTGTTGGACGAACATATTGACACTTGCAAAACGCTTTCATTGAAAAATCGATTTCTGTGTATAGAAATTAAAGAAATGATTATTACTGTAAAGATACTTCGTAATTGAACGAACATACCTTAACAATGAACATAAGACATCGATTCGGTAATTGAGATTGAATAATAATATGATGTATATCGATACAATCGAGACGAGAATCTTGTACCGAAAATGGATGGAACAAAAGGAATTCACAACAGCAACGGTTGAATTATTTCGGGACGTTTTATAAATGAAAAAGATTGAAATGAGTATAAGCAAGCCAACAACAATGGACGCTATACACCACAGCAAAATGTATCGATGCCATTTTCTATAATTCAAATAAACTCCAAACGTTGCAATCTGCTTGCATTGAGAAAAGAACAAAACTTTTTACTTCAGATATAGTCAAATATTCATCGGTTTACCTGTCTATCGAAATCGATGAATCTTTTGAAAATGTCAACGATCCTGAAGCGATTATACATGTCCAATGCGAGGATAAATCTAATATGGTATCCAATGCGATAATAACAGAATTGATAACTAATCCAAAAATGATTCGCACATGGCTACCAAGAATCAAAATATATGATTCATCTGGATCTGTTGGTAGTTTCGCCCTTTGATAAGTATTGAATGCCATCAACAGATATAGAAATATTGAAACCAAAAACCAAAGGCCATCAAATTTGCTGACTCGAACTTCTAGAACTTCACCATTTGCACTGCGATTTAATGAAAATGGCATCAAGCCACCCATACGAGAAAAAATACGAATTGGCCGTAGAGTGTAAATAAAATCAATTTTTCTTGAAGGACTTTTCAATGCAAAAGGGGAATTATGTGAATGCGCCATTTTGAATAGCAGGCGATAATCAGAGCGAGTTTGAATATTATTCCGTCAAATCTCAAGTAGGAATAGCTTTAAATAACACAATGCTACAAAAATAAAAAAATTTCATACGCAAATTTTCTGTTGCTGATTTTCTGT